CATAAGAGTCGAGGCACGAGTGAACGGCATCTGCACCCTCCGCACCATTTCCGATGGGCGTCTTCTCAGTGGAACTGGGGGTGTGATCTCTTCCGGTTCCGCAAGATACTCGTCAAGCGAGTCATAGAGTCTCTTGGCCATGAGCTGAGTGAAGCCATGACGGCAGAGCTTTGCCTCGTCAATATGAACCAAATCCTCTAGTGAGTAGATACCTATGAGACAGGGTAAGATTGAAACACATGAAATTTGGTTGCATTCTTTAAACAGCCATAACTCAAAAATTTTTTGTCGGAATTGGCTCAAACTTTCTACGCAGCATAAGGAGATCCATATGTATCAGAAAATGTAATAAAAATTGGGGGTAATTTCGGAGCCATTTTTTGGAAAAAACCATGGGCTATAGTACAGGGAAATTTTCAGATTTTGACCCATTTCTTTAAATGGCCATAACTTGAAAAATTGAAGTCAGAATTGGCTCAAACTTTCTACGCAGCATAAAGACATCAATATGTATCAGAAAATGTAATAAAAATTGAGCGTGATTTTGGAGCCATTTTTCGGAAAAAAGCATGGGCTATAACTGGGTATTTTCCCATTTTTGAACTGGTTATAATTTATTCTGTGAAGTTTGAGCTAAATTTCTGGGCTACATAACTCAAACTTCACAAAATGTAATACAAATTAGGAGTCATTTTTGGGCCATTTTTTGAAAATACAATTAGTTTTATAATATTCATGATATCAAAACAACACATAATGACACTGTAGTAATTTATGCTATAGTGATAGCTTCTCAAGCTTCAGGAATGATCACCAGTTAATTCAATCCCATAATGGAATTATTGCAACATAAACTACTGCAGGTGGATGGATGTACATGTATAGGATATTACAATAGGGTCAGGTGCTACTGTGTGAAGCCATTAATACTACAAACCCAACCACAGGGTTACAACATTGCTCTCCCCTTCTTGGTCAATTAAGTAAAGAATGAACAATGCCTGCATCTATTACAGACAATGTATGTAGCCTACTCATTACAGCGCAGACACTGAGACTCACCAGCTAGTCTTAGTCTGTATTCCAGTCCTCCTAAGTTACAGTGCCTCAGGAATCCCTTTAGTGTTCTGTCCAAAGAATGATGCTCTGTCGTCTTGACGGGATTCAGCAGAGCCTGAAGAGCCTGTGCTGATGCAGGCGGTTGAACGGTGTACTTGTTGCCGGGAGAGATAGCACCGGGACGGCCGGGGAGACCTCTAGAAGCAGCATCAATTCCTTCTCTACCTTGATTAGCTCCCATTGTTAAATTTTCTTTAAGTTAAAGTTTAGGCGTAACCAAAACAGATATGGGCGTGGTTTTGCATGGGCGTGGTTGTTTATAAATAAAATATGGCAGGAAAAAGGTAAGTCCTTTTTACTATTCTCTCTCATTTTATTTGTTATATAAGACCAAAAAGAACAGAGGTTGAAGAAAATGATGAACTGCTTGAAACTAAAAAAATTGCTCATAATATTGGTTAGTAAAAGACTCTTGTATTGTTAATAGTAACAAATCTAATGTAAAATGATATAAAAAATTCTCTCTCTCTCTCTCTCTCTCTCTCTCTCTCTCTCTCTCTTAGTTGAGTGTCGGCGTAAGCATAAAATAGCTCGGTCTATTGCTACTCTTTCTAGTCTTGTCTGTCCTTGTGACTGTGGGAAAGAGGTGACATACATGTACATGTACCATAGATAATAATCAATGTATGTACCAACACGTACATGTATCTAAACCAAAACAAGAAGTAATGCTGTAGCAATTTTGATCGGAACCAGTTCAAACTTGCTACACAACATAAGAACATGTACATGTATATGCATCAGAAAACATTATTAAAAATGGAGAATTATCTCCTAGTCATTTTTTCGCAAAATTTGGCTATGTACTATAGTACAGGGACTTTGATTCAATTTTGTAACTCTTGCTATGAATTTTGAGCTAGCATAAGTATCTAAAAGTATGACAATTAATGCAATTTTGATGCTTGTCTTCTGCATCTATAGACAAGAGCTGATGTGTTACAGAGGGCAGTCAATAAAATAGAAGAACTAGAGAAAAGTAATAAAGAATTGAGAGATGCCATTGAAGGAAAGTCAACTGGTAGGAATTACCTGATCAACTACCAGAGATATCACCTCAAAATTATCACTTCTCTCTGTCATAGATAATCTTCATCAATCAGAGTCATATCTGCAGTCAAAACTAGCCATAGCACTAGTGGACCACCTCTCTTTACTTATATCTATCAATCAACAAGAAGAAGACTATGTCTCAACTACAGCTGATACCCATCTAGCATCAAGTCCTGAGGAAGATGGAACTCAAGTTATTCCTTCCTCCAAGCACATGTATGGAGTAACCAGTTCAAGCAATGAAACAAGACTGGGATCCTTTACTGTCGAGAATCTTCTTGAATCTACTACTACAAATTATGATCGATCAAATTGTTTGTCACATGATATGACTAGTCTGGCAACCAGTAGTTCCATGATGACAAGAGATAATATATCAATGGGCATAGTACCTGTAACTGATTGTATCGGATCTCCTCTTATTAATGGGATTGGTGCCCCGCCTACTTCATCATGGTTTCCGTATGCTTCTCCCTCACGTCACCAATACCAGCCAGTTATTGACAGTGATTGGGCACATCCGCCAAACCAAGTCCACTGTCGTTTTGAAACTCCCGAAGAACCTGGTTATTATCATACTGAACCGTGTAGAACTCAGTCGTTGATTCCATCGTCTCCTCAATCTGTTTGGAGACCTTATAATGACCTCACCATCAACCCACAGCTGGGCTCTGCTCCTCTTCCTCCTCCAACTACTGCCAACGGATACAATCAAACTCCTTCTACTCAGCTTCCTAATTCCAGTTCATTTCTTGTTGGCCAGTTGCTTGAAAATATTCTGCAATGATTCATTGTTTATTTTTAGTTCATCTTTTATGTTTTTAACACTCCTTTTACACTCCTTGACACAATAAATATTTTTTAAAAATAATTTAAAAGGCAATGCATAAA